GAGGGGAGGGGAGAGGAGAGGAGAGGAGAGGAGAGGAGAGGAGAGGAGAGGAGAGGAGAGAGGCTTTTGGGTGGCATGCTAAGCCTATACTACAAAAAATGTGTAGGGCAGGACAAAGAAACAGGCAAGCCCCAGACAAAAAATGAACCTGAACTGATTTAAACTAAATTATATTACAGTAAGTATGACTAAATATACTGGGATTAGTCAAATTCTCATCTGTCAGGTTAAAACTGACAATTCAGCAACTTCTGGGGGAGGAATGGTGAACTAGCACATCTCAGAATGAGTGGAGATGATGACCGTGGCAAAGACCGAAGAACCGGCAAGCAGACCGGTCCTACAGAAACTCTCTGGCTACGGAGAGGATGGGAGATTGCCCGCATGTGCTCCAGATGGCAGCTGCTCATAAGGAGACTGCAGGACAGTGGTCCCCTGCAGTTTTGAGTGCCAGGACACAAAGGAAAGCCATCATGCTCTCAACCACAGTGGAGCCTTTTAAAGGACACTGGGTTAGCTAACCTCACTTTCTAAATACTTTTGAAAATTACCTATTTAACTATCTTAAGGCTAATGCAGATCTTCAAAATGACAAGTTTGAAAGTCACCTGGTGAGTTTACCTTCATTCTTCAATAAAAGAAAAATTAACTATAAGCTTAAGAATTTAAAGAATTGGAAATAAATGACAAAAAGCTAAATGAGACTCTGAGCCAAGAAAGTAATAAATGAATTCAGAGACCAGACAAATTTGGAATATTAGGATTTTTGCTGTAAGATTTTGGAAGCAATTATATATATAAACAGCACATTCATGGGAACAAAATTGTTTTATTTATCCTAAGTCATAACAGAAATTCGAGACTTTATGATTTCAGAAAATGGACACTAGATGGGATTAAAGATTCCAGGCAGAAAAGGAAAAAAAAGTGAACATTTGTCCTTTTTTTTTTGTTGTTAGCACTGGAATTTATAAAATGACACAAAACGTTATGACTTCTAAAATACTCCAGGAGATCTTTGAAGAATGGGGTCAGAAATTACCAGCCACAATGTCAGCAATGATGTCTGTTTCTATGGATAGACTATTTCGAAAAGTTGTTAAGAAATGGCAGATGTGAAAGGGTTAGGGAACAGAACAGGAACAAATTGCAATGGATGTCTAAGAAATTACTTGGAAGAGGGACTTAAATGTAATTCAAATGGGTCTGATGGATGACTTATTCCCTAAAGGACATGTACAGATATCAAATCAGGAAACTGATTTGGATAACTTTTTCCTACTGGATATACAAAAGCGCTCTATTAAGGTTTTGAAGGACTTTATTACAAGTGACAAGCAAAAGGATAAACTCTACTTATTGGATATACGAAAGAAACTTGTTAAAGCTCTGAAAGATTTTTGCTTTGAAACACAGATGATCAGCAAACTATCTCTGTGATTCTCTCTGAAGGGCTTAAAGAACATTTTTAAAAACTCTGGGAAGGAATACAAGGTTGGCTTGCTGATCAGGGCTAAAAGAGGAAAATAGTTATACCTGGTTGCCCTTACTGGACTTTGCTGACAAAGAACAATTGATGAAGCGTTTGGATTTTGTTTATTTACTTAAGAGATGGGCTATGGGGGGAAGAGAGATTATGTTGTATTTAGAGATGGTGATAAGCTATTAAAATTGTCTTTACTTGCTGGAATGAAGGGGGGAAGTTACTTTTTTCTTTTCTACACTCTTTTTTTCTTTTGTATTTTTTGTCTTCTGTATTGGTTTTATTCTTTTCATTTGTAATTCTTAATAAAATTATTTTTTAAAAAAAATTCTTAAACACTGAAAATTTAATTTGAATGGGAAAAGCAGATTGTAAATGAATATGTATCACCACTAAGAATCTTCATGAAATTGGAGGATAATAAGAACTTGTGATGGCATTGCATTACTTTTTATCTTCCATGTAAACCTTATTCTTCAGAACCCAAATTCAGTTCATCCTTCCAATACTAATCTAATTCAGGAGCAAAAAAAAAACAAACCAGAATACTGTGCAGCACTAATAATATTTAAATAGAAAAATAATCCTTAGTCATGGTCTGGCATGGGAAAAAATGTGGAAGAGATTCATGCTTGAGAGAGCAAATACTGAGAAGAGAAAGCATACAATTGCAGAGCTCAATCTGATCTCCTAGCCATGTTTAATACACAAGCCACACAGACACTTGCCTATAGAGATATTAATTACCATCAAAAGCAGCATTTATTTTATATGAACAACTACAAACTTTCTATGCTTTGGCTCAACTCAATTCTTATGGAATATCCATATATAAATTTTAGGTTTTCATTTTTAAAAATGAGGGTAGAGTCCAACGCAAACATACTGTAAATACTTAATCATATTATGCCTATTTTTGTACAAAAAAAAGGTCTACATGCTGGAAAAACTATGAACCAATAAAGATATAGATGTATTTCACAATTCTGTACTATTATGTGCATACTGAAATAATCAAAAGCTATTTCCTACTGCCCATGAAACCATTTTCACTTTGCAGTCTTACACATAATTTGAGAGGAGGCTCCACTGTACTAAATGGGACTTACTTCCATAAATGGGACTAACTTACATAAATGGAATTGCACTATTACTAAATTGTATTAAAATTGATTTTTGACTAAATAGTTGTGGAAAAATGAATATGATTCAGTTGCTAACAGCTGGAATTCAACATTTTAGCTTTCCTATAATACTGTCATGTTATAGGTACATGAATCCTTAGCAGAGGTAGAAAGAGGAGGGGGCATTAAGCATGAGTGACTAGGCAGAATTATGCCCCTTGTTCAAGACAAGATTTTGATCCTGACTTGGAGTTGAGTGCCCAACCCATAAGAGTGCTGTTGCCACCATGTCACAAGCCAAAAGGGAGAAAGATAGGGAAGCATTCAGTTATATCGAGAAATGTTTTAGGAGAGATTTATACTTGAAAATAAGATGTTACTCTTGAGTAGCTCAGCTCCTGATTTCAGAGCATAATTTCCATGAGGATATTAACTTCACAAACTTCTATGTTGTGATTTCAAGTTATGTCTGGCATTATAGTAATCTTAATTTGAATTTCAGTGGCTTTTTTGCTTTTCTCTGCCAATTGAGTCAGTGTAAGGATCACACATTTTGAACCTTGATAGTACTAGAATTAAAATTCTGCTATCATTTCTACTGTAAATGTTTTAAATGATTTGACCCCAAACTGTTAACACCTTTGCTAAAGCCTGCACATCAGGACAGGTATCGTCATTTTGGGAAGTACATGGTATGCATAGGAAAAACTATTCATCTTGTAAATACAAAAGTTTATTCTTAGTACTTTACCATGTTCTTTCTTGCATTTATTTATTGAGCATTTTTGTTCAACATTTCCAATAGAGATTTCTAAAAGCATGAAGTTTCTGCCTCATTATTTTTCTTATTTTGTTTGCCTGACAGTCCTTTATATTTCAGATTAAAATATAGCTTTATTTTAATTGTGTGTAAATATTCATAGTTACCAATGAATGTTTTTACAATAAAATATAATTTAATACCAACATCTGACATATAAAATTTCAAAACATACACAATACAGACAGCTGTTATTACAATAATCTTTTCAACATCCCAAAATGTTTCACTTTAAGTAGGCAATTTTGAAATAATAGCTACTAATTAATTTATACATTCATTTCTTATAACAATTTTCTCTATGATCTATTTTTCCAAATAAATTATTTTTAAAAATGTAATAATTAACAGATAATAATTTTGAGCATGTTAACTATCTTCGACTTACTGTATTAATTTCTGAGACCTCTGCGTATATGTTTTCTGAACTGCATTTTGACACCATTATATCTGCGTGTATGGTAATCACATCACTGCCAAGCTCCTGCTCAATTAATAGAAGAAAACTCTTGTTAGAAGACTCTGAACATTTTAAAATCTAACTAAAAAATTCAACTGCAATAGATTATCCTTTTGATTTCTTCTTATACCAAGTTTTGATTAGACTAAAGTTACATGAAATATTAATTTAATACTAAAACTTGATTTTAAAAGGTATAAAGGATCAAAAGAGTTGATTACATGTATATTTAGATGCATTCAACTATCTCTTTAAATATAATTACTTTTTCCAAATAATTTTGTATCTATCTTACAAAACCCAAAAGGGGAAGTAAATTAACGAAGTGAGTAGAATACATTCTGCATTATAAACTCCAGCTTCGAAATAGGTAAACTAATTTAGTAACAAATACTACAAGTCCTCTCTTGTTCATCAATTAACAGGGGTAGCGTGTCCCTCCTTGTCTTACTGGGCCTCTTCATGGCTTCTGATACCATCGAGCAGAGTATCTTATTGAACTGCCTGTAGGAGTTGATTGTTTTATGATGGTTTCATTCTTTCCTTAGGGTGGAAAGTCAGGTCACTTGTGGTGGACGAAGAGAGGTTGGCCCAGTGGCTCTTAATATGAAGGGTGCCAGAGAAGTCAGTCCTCTCTCCCCTGCTTTTTAGCATCTGTTGGAAGCCTCTGGGAGAGGTCATTTGGAAGTCTGGAGTTTGGAATCATCAATATGCTGCTGATATCCAACTATACATCACTACTCTGGGCCTGAAGGAGATGCTATTGACATCCTTTCCCAGTATCTGAAGGCTGTCAGGGTCTGGATGGGAGAGAAAAGAACCCAAGAAAGACAAAGTTGCTGTTGATATACTGGGGTTTCTCTGTCATCATCATTGATGGGCTATCTCTACCCATCAGAGAGCAGATTTGGGGGTCTTTCTGGATTCACAGCTCCTTTTTAAATAGCCGGTGAAAGCTATGTCCAGAGGGACTTACGACAGCTTCAGCTACTGCACCAATTGCGACCTTATGGGGAGGCAGCAGAACCTGGCTACAATAACTCATAGTCTCATTATTACCCAGTTACACTACTATAATACATTCTACTTAGAGCTGCCCTTAAAGACTATGCAGAAACTACAGTTGATCAAAAACACAGTAGCCTGCATATTTTTTGGCTCCTAGTCTTAGCAGAATATAACATCGTTTTTGCAAACTCTGCACTGGTTGCTGATTGGTCTCTGGATACAATTTAAGGTACTGGTTTTGACCTATAAAGCCCTTTGTGCCTTGGCACTTGGATACATGCAGGACCACCTACTCCAGCCACTATTGGCTGGGCTGATTAGAACATCTAAGAAGAAGTTGCTACAAATCCCACATTTTCAGGAGGCTAAAGCGCCAATGCTATGGAACAACCTCCCAGTAGAGATCAGGTTAGCCTCCTCTTGCTAACATTTTGGAAACTGTTGCAGAAGAATAGTTTTAGATGGCTTTCCCCTGAGCTTATGCTATATTTCATTTTCCTTTTTATTATTTTTATTTATGTGCTTTCTGGCTGATTGTTGGTTTTATTGTTATATGTTATGTGTTAAATTCAAATTATTTCTATTTACATTCTATATAACCTCTGAGAGTCATTTTTATTGCAGTGGGGTAGAAATGTGTTTAATAAATAAATACAAAGTTTTATAAGCAATCTTGATGAATATGCATATTACCAGGGAGATGATATAATTTATTACATATATAGATTGCAAATTGTGTTCAGCAGTGTTATATATTTCTGTTATACAAAACGTGTAACTGAAAAAGTCCAATTTCAGGGAAACAGTTTTCTCTGCAAATGTTTGCCTCTCACCTACAAAAAAAGCAACTTTCACTTTAAAAAGTCAGTTTGTACTTTTTCCTTGACAAAGCACCTGCCAAGAGAAAACAGAGGGTTATACTGGATATCTTCCTGAGGATTGCCTTTCTAGATTAGTTATAATACTTTCACGAGTAAATTTAGATTCAATGAGCAAAGGCAGTAAGCATGGTCTTCTCCTCCCCACACAACAATGCCCAACTACAGAATAAATTTCTTATCTAGCAATTTGGAGGAATTACACTATATATCATCCCCAAGTAGGAGACCAATTTCCAGTGCAAGTGGAGTAAATAAATATGTTTCATAACAATGCATATAACTCTAAACAAATAAATCATTTTAGCCTCAATAGAACGTTGATAACTATTAGTGTTGTTTTATCCACATAATCTTTTCTGCCCCCTTGTCTCCAAAGAGAGACAATGGATATTAGTTGAAAATTATGTTTTAATTCAATTTAAAATCAATTATTTTTACCCTGTATGATCTCCACAAATAATAAGTATATTATCCATTTCAAACAAATAAAAATAATAATGAACTTTAATACAGACTCTTAGATATATTTTTTTTAATATTTAGAATAGATAAGATGTTGGCACTTCTTATATATTTAGCTATACTGCTCTAATCATCAACTGCCTCTGAGCAGTTTACAATCCTACCATATATAAACAAGATTAAAATAAAAATAGTCAATGATAGACAATACACATAAAATATTCCTACACTCAGGAATCATAATCCCATACAAATATACATTGTCATATAAGAGGAATCCCTCTCAAATAATCTCCCTCTCAAAGGCCTGTTTAAATGACTTTGTTTTAATAGCAAACACATTATTCTATGTATTATAAGATCTCATGTCAAGATTAGAAAAGCTGCAAAGTTATCAACAATACTAAGATGTACAGAAAAAAATCTTAAAACCTTCTTATAAAATCATTTTTTTAGAATTCAAAATAGGTTACAGTACAATATATAGGTCACAATAATATTACAGTACATGAATATGGAATTTTCCCCACATGATGATCAACTAGGGAAAATATTAATATTCTGAAGATAAATCATTTTCAAGTCAAAGTATATTTAGAATAATTAAAAGGAAATAACAGCAACACCAAATTGCTTTAGACTATTTCTCTGCCTTGACACCAAATATTGAGCTTTCCCTGAATTTCCAACCCTACAACTTGTTTCAATCTAGATTTCCCAGAAAATAATATAAAAGTAGGATAGTTTAAAATGAACTCTATTAAAACTTAATATTATGTAGTAATTTGTTTTCTTGCATTTAATATTTAACTCTGGGGTAAAGGCCCACTGATCTTTTAAATCTAATCAACCTATTTTCTTTGTAATGAAGAATATACACAGTGAGTATCTGAATGATGGGATGTCTGAAGAAAATATTATCTGCATATTTCCTTTTTTAACCTACTAAAGTAATTGTTATTAACATTTAAATGTATAGTTGATTCCACTTTTTTCTTTCATTATGAAAAATAAAATCATAAAGAAGCTTTATATTCACTGACATCCAAGACAGTGAAATGTATCCTTTCTATAGTAATTTCAAAGCAAGTACTTTGGATTATTGCAATTACTGAAACAAACAGGGACAGCCATTACTATTTTTATGCATAAGATGGTACTATAACTCAATCTATTCTCATTTCAAACCAGTGAACAATTATTAAGATAGAATGTAATAAGTTTTTCAGTTCATTTTTTAAACTTTCAACGCAGCTGAAAGTTTTGTGGCCATACATTTTGTAGCCATACTATTAAAAGTATTACTCAAAACCAGTTTATTGGTTAACAAGCTAAACTTCATCCAGAAGAGTTAAAAAACCTACTAACTAAAATTTGTCAAAATCTGGTATGACATATGGATGTTCCAGAGTATGACTAGGAGAGAATACCCAAAATAGGATTTAGGCACTCCTGTTCATTCTAGTATATCAATGGTATTCCAGTTCAGTTCTAGAACAGAGGCCACATAAGAAAAAAGGTTATTCTGCTAAAATGGATAAAGCTACATCGAATGTTGACATGAACAGCCCAATTATATCATGAGATAATACAGACTGCAATTCTCCTTCTACCATAGGGTAGGCAAGCTGATTTTGAATTAATTTTACCAAATTATCAGCAGACAGAAAATCTTGAAAAATGTGCCATCACAAAAAAGAAGGGAGCAGATGTCATCTATAACACGGCAAAGCCAAATCAGTATACCAGTACTTCTATAATAAATAGGGTAAAGTCAGAAAACATAAAATTCTTCTTTTGTATCTGTAATATCATATCATATCACAGATACTATAACAAGTATCTGCTTTATAATTCACTGTGTCATATGAAGTAAGGAAAAAATGGTAAAACATGCTATTCTTCCCCAAATATGAATTCCATCTGCTACACAAATAAGTTACGGTAAGTTTATTGTGCACACATTTGTATAAAGTGCTTCCTTGCTTTTTGGACACACGGTTACTATTTTTTGTCTAATAAAAATTTCCCTTAATGGGGGAGGCTGGGGGAACAGCTAGCAGCGATCATAAAAGACCAACAAGTATAATACTGTCTTTTATTGGTTTCTGAAAACAGAAGTCTCATTGATGCTTCTTTTTTTGCCTATCTTAGCATGACATCTGTTATTTCAAAACAATAGTAAAGTAAATAAATCCATTGCAAAATCATTTTATTTTGACAATTATGCCTTTTCTCAAGTAAAAATAGAAAATTCAAACATACAATGTCTCAGTTTCTAAATTAAAGTACTATTAGATAGTCCTGATACCAAAACATGAGTCAAGTTCTAGTCCAGACCTAATGTACATCGCATTAGCATCTCAATAGTCTTGGTATTTTCCTATGGATAAAAGGCCTGCGGTAACACTCAGACCAATGACACAATTTACAAGCAAATACAACCTCATAGCAAAAGCAATCTATTCTTTGTCTTACTACAGAAACATGTCCACTTTTAAATTTCGTATGGGAGAATATCTATAAAATATGAAATATGTCTATTTGCAATACTCCATAATTTGCACAATCCAAGGGAAAAGACCTTATAATCATGTTAAAAAATGCATTCCATTTAAATAGATCTTAAATTTTGTAGTTGTTAGAGTATTATTAACTTGCTATTCAATAATA